TAAATAAATACTTATATAAGCATATTATATATTAAAATAAAGCTAAAAGCTACGTGATTTTAAATCCTTAAAAATTAACTTAAAAATGTAAATATTTAGCGAGATATTAAGCTTTAAAGTTATATCTTAAAATAAAAAGTAAGTAAGGTAAAGCGAATTTTAAATTACTTATAACTTTAAAATATAATAACTTATAGTAATAAAAAGTGGGGCATTTTAAAGAGCTAATTTAGCTCTTTTTAACTATATAAAAATATTACTTATAAGCCTTATAATTAGCCTTATAATCTTAAGTTAAAAAAACAAGAGAGTTCCCTTACTTATAATATATTTATAGGTATTTTAAAAATGTAATGTATTATGTTTAAATATAATACACGAAAATACAATATAATATAAAATACAATATATAATATACTTGTTTTTACTATATTCGTAAGAGCTCTAGTCTTAACTAGTATACCTGTAAATGTTAAAGAGATACTAGATAAAGGGAGTATAAGAGAATTAAGTCTTTTAATAAGGTTAAGAATAACATCCCAAATGTTAATATTAAGAGAACTATTAATAACAGAAAAGATAAGGGAGCGAAACTGCTCTAGTATCAGTCCGCCCCTTAGCATATGTTATTAAATAGAGAAGAGCTTCGCTACCACATTACCGCTTCCATCTGGGCAAGACAGGTTAAATGCCGCTGTAGTGCCAACCAGCGCCAGCAAAAGGCTTGCAATGTCGTCCTCCCACGCATGGTTATCAAAATCCCGTAGCTTCGCCTGAAAACAGTTCAAGGTGTCCTTGAGCGGGCGGTCCGATATAATCTGGATTTATTGCTCCGTAAGTGTCATGTCGAAGACTCGCGGAAGCAAATTGCTTCCTTCAGCGACAATTGGAAGAAAGGGGTGGGGATGTAAACATAACATGTCAGGGACGCGATGCGTCACGTGAGCTGAGCACAGCTGTCGCTGGAAATAGAAACACAATGTCTGAACCATCAGCCATACGTGTGGATAAATAGGTGGGCAAATTCTGTGGTTCCGCTCAATCTCAAAGCTATTATCCTACAAAATGGGTGGTGATTTTATTACCTTGGTGTGATCTCCATGTAGTTATGCTGCGTTTCCACCTGTAGTAGATTGAATGGACCAATCAGATGCACCGGCTTCGGGCGTAGGCTTAATACCACTACAATAGCCAAGCCAGTGACTTGCTTGCTGAAATTCAGTTATTTACAACACACGTATTAATATGGAAGTGTCGAGAGCTTCACCATTCAGATGAAGATATGAAGGGGAGTGTCCATGTATCAGTCGCCCGGCCGAGCTTAGTCATCTGATATCCACTCTGGAAAATGAGCTAGGCAGCCGTCAAAGCCCCCATCACAACTCACTCACACTCTTATAACAGATTAGTCAAAATCTATCTGAAGTAGACGATAATTCCTGGCTTATCGGGAACAAAATTCTGCTCTCACGGTCTGCTCTGTCAGATTGTGCGTGGCGAGATGGGAAGAGTGGTGGTTTTACCGTCTCCGAAGCACCACTACCTCTGCCAGAGACTCGACCACTATCGGATACCAGCGACATTAAGTTAATATATGATGCTGGAGGCGTGTCTGCCGTCTTCAGTATTGGCGACGCCTTCTGTAAAGTAAGGACCTTGGATGTGCCAGATGTAACGAGAGAGCACGTCACGCTGGCGTGGCTCCAACAACGACCTTGGAGTTTTGCGATCCCCGATGTTCTCTACCACGCCGAATACGATGGTCGATATTATATTGTGCTGAGCCGGGTTCCCGGAGAAACCATAGACAGTATGTGGATAACCTTGGACGAGTCCATGAGACAGCACTACGCAGAGAGGATTGTTGATATCTGCCAGGAACTGGCGGTCCCTTCTGAGAAGAGCAGTATCAGCGGTGTTGACGGTAACGCCCTCTCGGAACGATATCTGTGTGGGCGAAAGGTGGACTGCAGTCCCCAGAATCTACGGAAGAGCTCCTTGGAGCTCGGTATGGACTGTTCGAGTCTCGTATTCTACCACTGCGACCTTGGCCCTTCCAATGTCTTGATAGACCTGGCCAATGACTCTATCGGCATCATTGATTGGGAAACTGCGGGATTCGTACCCGTAGAATGGATTAGAACAAAGTTCCGCATTTCCAGTGGAATGAATCTTTCCAGCGGTGACGAATTGGATTGGAGAAGGAGGGTAATGCTTCACATGGGACAAATGGGCTTTATTGATGTCGTAGAAAGGTTCATCGCGTGGGGCAAATGAGATGACATTGTGTATATAAGATAGTATGCAATCTGGCATAGGGATGGACAGGGAGCATCTTTCGAAAGGCGCACGAGTCGCCATCCGCTGTACCCCACTGAGCTTGGCAACTAACGAACGTGACCTAGTGCCTCCTCCGACCAAAAAACACTACGAAGCGACACATATCAAACTTGTCCAACCGCCGTCCATTCTCTTTCTGCTGGTGGCGTATCATTAGCCTGACTATCTCCCCCGCATGAATGAACAAAGGGCTTACATGACTATGCCACGTCCAGACATATCAGAGAACTTGGGGCAGCTCCCGTCCGCAGGAACCACCGCCAGATACGGTGCCTGCACAGTACTTTGTACCGGTTACGTTGTTATATCCACACTTGGGACAATTGACCGCGTTGACAAGCGTGGCCGGCACAATAGCGGCCATGTCGAGTGGTTGGATTGTAGTGTAACAGGCCATTACGCCAGATTTAGTGAGAATGGCGCTTGTCGGAGTGTGATCAGATGTACTAGTCAAAGTTGGAGAATTGCCAATTTCAACATAATCACATAGGCTTTTGGGTCTTTCCATCGTTGATTTTCTCCTTCATCTACCGGTAGTCGTCCGTCTTCGTCATAACTGTCCGCCGAGCCAAAGTGGGCAGGCATAACATTCAGGAAGCTTGGAAATGCGACAAGTTCAAGAGGTAGAGTGCATGCACCTTGCCAATCAATAATAGCAATCACCTCGAAAAATTTATCGACAATCATATTGCTTCACCAAAGAGTCTGTATAACAGGGTAGAAACAGCCCAGAGTCATGTTACCATAGCCGACTAGCCATCTATCGCCTTGATTTGAGACGGCAACTCGGTAATAGCTTTGAGAATTTTTGGGCAGGCCCTCCGTTTAGTAAACGCAGGATTTCGTCTTGTCCGTGCGGAAATGTAGCATGTTTCGCCCAGGATTCGAAGAATTGTGTTGCTGTGTCAAATGGTCTGCCGATATCGGGGAAGGGGCCAATGTCGTACTCGCCGTTCTGCGTCCTGATGATGGTCCCGATCTTGAAGCGTAAAGCGGTCAGTTCCACCTATTTGAAAGCAAAAGGTTTCAGAAAACGAAAAGGTAAGAACTTAAATATACAGTGCTGCCTTGCATGACATTTGGCGACGGAGAGATAGAAACATTGGCGGTGGCCCACGGGGATTTGGCCCCTGTGTATCTCATAACCACCCGCAGCATCCATGGCGGTATTTCCAGGGATAAACTCCATAAGAATAAAAACCGATAGGACTGTTCTCGTCAGATTGATATGCGAATACCTGGGGTCCTGGTAGACTAAAACCGTCTGTGATGAATTGCATGACCGCTACTTCGCTACGAAACTTCGCTGAATCCGCAGCAGATGTGCCCAAATTTATCCTGGCAATCCGCAAAGTCTGATCCGAGAACTGAAGCCAAGCGTACAAGATTGTGTGGCCCATTTGTGGTTCGCTCAAGCGGCACACAAGGCAAGCCGCCGTGAAGGGTTGAGGCTAGCTGACAGAGCCTCTTCCATTTCGTTTTCCGCATAGCTTCGCGCACATCATTGCCTCGATCATATTCAGTGATCCTCCAGTTGAGAAAGTTGATCTTTGATGAGTTTGTTGACATGCTGCAAGAGTTGTCCTTCGTCAGGATGGCATCGACGGACAGCCGGTAGCGGTGTGGCCGCAGCAAGCACGGGCGCACATGTGCTGGACAGCAATTCGTAACCACAATCCTCCTGATGTCTTCCCAAGTAGTAAGAAGCTTCTGAATCGCCGCGCAGTGTAGCTGGTAATGGCTGAAGGGCGCACGGACTCGGTTGTAAGTCAAGAAACCTTTGCAAGCGTTGGCGCACGAGGGAACCCTTGGTCATGGTTCAAGGGGCAAGTGATTCAATAAACTAAGATTCGAAATGTGATGAGATGTTAGAAAATCAAATTCCATGTTTGCAACCCTCGACTGACCAACACCATTCGGACCACCGGCGTGGTATACCGCGTCGACTCCCTTTTGTAATCTTGAATCTCTGCTATTACCAGCAATCCCACTTAGAAAATGGCAAACCGCACCCCCTCATTCAAAGTCGGCTTCTGTTCCACATTGTTCTCGCACCTCTCCACACTCCCGCTCACTGAACCAACAGAGTACCCATTCGACGAGCTGCCTGTCGTTGGTGGAGAGAATGTACACTCTGTGGGCGGAAGATCCGCACAAGTCATGGACAAGTTCGTATTCCAGGGGAAATAATCCATGAAGCCGACTTGTGATCCTTGAATACCCCCAGTGCCTGCAGGCAGAGTAAATGTGCCGATGTGGTGCGCCGTGCCGTTCTCGTAATTCACCGCTTTGCCGGCCCAAGTCGTCCCAGCAGTATTTGTAATGATCAGATCCCAGGTATCTGTGTACGAGCCAGAAAAGTCATAAGCACAGCTCACACCTTGTCCGCCATCGGCTCCACCGGAGCAGTTGGGATCGGCGGTAGTTGTGCCGTGGATAAAACTCGAAAATACGCCGCGAAGAATGGCGGCTCCTGACTGCGAGTCTTCTCGAGGCTGAAGCCCAGCGTATGCCACCGAGTACTGGCCATTAAATTTGACTCGCTGGGCAAAATGATACCCAGCGACATGGGGCGCTCTCGAAAGATTAATGGGAAACGAAATATCGCTCAAGCCTTCTGGAGGCACATATGACATGTTCCAGGACACGACGCATAGTGCAGATCTCGAAAATGGTAGAGTAGATATAGCGAGAATGAGGGGCGCAAGACTGGGCCTCATTTTAGTTTGAGGTCTACTCTATATGTGGATGTTTCGTTTTTTAAGACGGAGACACAATTTTTTGCAGATTTGGAGACAATCTTTGTAGTTTCAGAATCAGTTTGTAGGTATTCCCCGCTATCGACGAGCTAAATGGTAGCTCCTCGACATCAACAAATCATAGATTAGGTCATAGAAATGTTTAGGTTTGGTCTAAACTAGCCGACTACCCCTGAGCCCCTACTCGGCATCTACAAGCCCATTTGGGAGTAATAATGCGGTTGTAATGTCAAATTCAAGGCAAGCACGCGCCACAACTATAGCCTTGGGGAAGCGAATAATTTGCACTTACGACCTTGTTGCTGCAACTTACTATGCTATGCATGGGAACAATATCGAGTGCATAGAACACAAGACAAGTGCTATCAAAGCTAAAACCAAAGGCGAATGTAGTACATAGTGTACTCGTCCTTGAACCGGTCTCTTGAGGGAACTTCACTTGCAGCTTACATTCTTCTCTTTACACACGGTTTCCGCCGTGATTATTTGACTCTGATATTATGGTCTTGGAGCAGTGTCGAGACATTCAAGCAGCTTTTTATATTTCTTTCGCTGACAGCTTCTATCTGAATGGTGATCCGTCAGCAACGCCTCCAGCTCCTTGACGTCAACACCGCTATTATTCTCGCCATGCTTGACCCGAGTATAGCCGCGTAGTCTAAGGCTTTTAAAGGCCGCATCGCCATCATGCCTAACCTCAACCATTAAACCAATGTCAACCGCGGCTTCCCTCATGCTTTATCAGCAGCCGAGTCGTGCATCGAAACTCGAGAAGCGCTTCCTTCAACCGGCACATCTGCAAGCCCGGGTTATCCGCAGAGGACACGACCACTTTCCACGTTGTAAACGGACCAACAGCCACAATGTCACCAACACCAAGGTCACAATCCAGGTGATGGGATCCCGACGACCAAAAACTTGCGACAAGCCATCTTCGACCCGAAATTCCCTCTCTACGAAGTAATCGAACTGTATATGGGTTCTGTCGTGGGAAAAGAGAATGCCCGTCCCGGTATCGTTTCTGATATCATCGCCCATGTGAACGAGAACATTGGTCAATGTACGCTCTCTCTTTTTCGCAGTCTGCCCTGAGCAGCCAGAATCTGACCTAGCTGAGTCGTATGTCGACGTCGTCTCTGAAGATGTCATGATTGGTCCGGGTATCGAGTCGAATGTGTGTAGGAAACACGACATGATCATCCACCTAGTGCTCGAGGAGTAGGGGCGAGTCAGCAGACAGCTCTCTATGCCGAGGCTGGTACGCAGCAGGACTAAAATACTGCTCCGAGAGACTCTCGGACACACCGCCTAGCCATTGGCTTGCCATCTCAGCACTCTACTAAATACCGACGCCAGAGAGGACGGCAAGGCGACAGCACCAACGTGGGCGTGAGCAACCTGGTCGACCCCGGGTCTGATCTCAATGCAAGCCGCAATATTTGCCTAGTTATCAAGGCCGAAGCCAAGATCTATGCAAAGGCGAAGGAATCCCGACATCGACACTGGTGCCACGGAGAAAGAGGCGCTGACGCAAGCTTGATCGTACTCAAGCTTTGTTTTCACTGTTCAGAAGAGGGATGGATAGGCATTGAGTGGTTAAAACAATGGCTAAGAGGCCGATCGGCACTGCGGGACTAATTTTCGAGCCTGATAGTAACTAGGCAGGCCCGATTCCAGATGAGTGCTTGGCCGGCTTGGCCAGCATCCCGTTTGGCAACCGTCTTAGCAGCTCAGTACTTCAAGGCCATCTACATTCGTGTCCTGCCTTTTGCTTTTCCGAACCCAACTAACTTTCCCCTGGTAGCCGAAACTTGAAAAGGTCATGAATGACATTGGGTTTCCAGTCACGAAAGGGAACCATACGTAGCTATACCGCACATTGTGTTGTGAAAAAGGCCGCGGCTGTACTGATGATTACGGCTCAGCTGGTATGACCGTCAAGGGAAAGTTGCAGTCTGGTACCACCAAGTCCAAAATTCAACGAGACCTGGGGGACCCTTCAATGCCAAGAAGATGCATTACTGCGGCACACTCGAATCCAAGACAGGGAACAATTTATCCGTCATAAAAGTCAAGCCAGACGTCGCCAATACACTCGCCGACGCTGTGGTCCTCGAATATTAGAGTAGCCCGCAAAAGTTAAAATAAACCACCACCACCACCACCGTGCAGTATCAGGGGAAAGGGATACGCTGGAGGAGAGAAGAAGCCGTCAACTTCGAATTGACATGGACACAGCAGGGGACAGTGAAAACTGGGACAGGACTGGAGAAAGAACCCAAACTCTCTCTTTCCAGGTCGTGTTTACTGGTGACGAGAAGTTTGGTAGGACGGCCAAGGCCATCATTCTTGTTCTGCATCCTGACTCGACTCGAGTCATAGGTGTATGCATTCAAGCGGTGCTTTGGTACCAATTCAGCGTACTTCTTGAATTAACCCTGTTCCAGGAGGATCTCCATGACACATTTCTCGCACAATGGAAGAAAAACATCTGACTTGTAAAATGTAGGAACAATTGATAGGGGCAATGCCCGACTGTGATACTCACGTCACATATTTACGAGTGTCGACATTCTTTTAGCGTTAGCCCAAAAAAACGTCTTTCAATGCTATTAATATGTACAAAATCCTGTTACGCAGTCTGCTCCCCAAATGTTCGACTAGTTGAGATGCTACTGTATAAGTGCGAGTCTAAGTGCAATTGAGTGAGTTTATTGCCAAGAGCGGTCTTTTAGGGTGCCAATTCCGCCAGATGGGTGGCAGACTAAGGTCAACCTAGTTTTTAATCCGGTCAACATTTTCCACGTAACAGAAACAAGGGTGGCGGGGGGTTGTGCTGTGAATATGGGTTGGTGGCAGACAAGGTTTGGTTCATGGGTAGCATGTGCGGTTCCAAGGCTTGTCAGTATTATGTATTGTAACAACCCGGCATCTCCCATTCACCGGACTACCAGAGCATTCGTGTTGGAAGCAATGAGTGGATCTTCAAGTACATGCACGTTCGTTCCATTGCAGCGTGTTACTCGGGAATCACGTAACATTGCGGGACGGGCGACGCTTGAACATCACGATAGCTACAAAACGGCTCGAGATCTAGTTAATGCTTCAGGCTTCCAGTCCTAAAGTTTCAATGCTGCTTTATACAAATAAGGGTCTCTTACCCTGGGGACCTACAGAGAACATAAAGATACTCAATATTAAAGCAAGTTATTAGACGACTATGAACACAGTTCCACGCCTTTATATAATGAACCAGTGACCCTTGTCACACAGGGATCGTGCCACATTACATAATAGAAAGCTCGAAGAATATGCGTATCATGAATCCATTCTTCCAAGCCCCAAATATACAGCCTTTCTCTTCCCCCATGTAATCAAATTCTGAGGCTTCAAATGGTAACTCACAGAGTATGCCGCCGTCAATGCCATCACCACCACACGGGACGGCCAGACCGCCAGGACATCGCAACCAAACACTAGTTTTTACCGAACCTGCCGGTACGCGGTTTGTTGACCTATTTTTCTACCCGTTGACTCACAGTTCAAACAAAATCGCTGTCGTGGTAACTAGATTATCGACTTCCCCAAGCACCATACAGTGCATACATTACTCGAAGGGGGGGACAAGAAATCAAGGGGGCAATCAACCCTTGAGATCTTTAGCTTCATCCGAAAGCATATACTCGGTCCATTGGTATAACTCTTATGCTGCACACTTTGTGATTTTGCTGGCAAAGACAGTACACCAAGGTGATGCCGTCTCTGCACATGGTTATTTACCATTTGATACAAAGTCGACGAAAGCAGCCGTCCTGCTTCAGCACCGTCACGTACTCGGCTTCAGGCAACGCTCCTAAACCAAGCTCCATACGCCCTTTTCATACCTTTGAGTCATCACGATTCTCAGACACATGAGCAGGAGTATAATAAATTTGCTTGCCACGTGTCATTTTCTAGGGCTCAACGACTCGACCTGGGACTCGGACGGCTGGCCAAACAGCCATTGTACCTTCCACAGCGAACAGAAGCATCCGGGACCTGGCCCAACATCACGGCAGCACCGACAAACAAAAGCATAATAGTAGCTTGAAGCAAACCAGAAAGTGTTCATAATGCTTAACGGGCAGACCGCGGAGCCAATATTATACAATCTCAAGCAACCCAATGATACATACATACTCCATAAGCCCACCAACCCAAAAGAAAGCACGCCCTAGCCTTGCGCCAACTCGTAATCCTTTACTGTCGTGCAGTGAACCATAGCCTCAAAATATATCCGATTCTCAATGACGCACTTTTCGCCTGGCTGCACCGGGAAAGCCCCGTTGGGGCCTAGTTGTACCACTTTGCCGCCGATTGTAAGCCTAAGTTTCCCCGAGGCCACAGAGAAAACTTGGATCTTATCCTTTTGTGTAGGAACGTTGTAGATTTGCCCTGGACGTATCGTGAGGACATTAAAGTCAATATCATGTGATATTGTAATCGGCGTAGACGAAGTGAGGAACGCGCCAGAGTATGCTATGTCTGTAAGCTAGTTAGCCTGTGCGCTGGCATATCTTATTTATAAAGGTCCATACTTCGGGAAGAGTCCTCGTTTAAAAGTCGACCAGGTGCAATTTCCCAGTCTTCCATTTCATATTCTGGGGGGCCAAATTGTCCTTGGTGCTTGACGGGCAATGTCTCGCGTCCTAGCCGTGTACTATGCTGCTCAATTGGCGATTTGCTCTGTGGCCGGCCCCCTTGGTCATTATCCCTCTGCACTTGGTTAAGTTGTGTGCTGTGCTGCTCAGTTGCCAATGTGCTTTGTGGCCGAACCCCTTGGTCCTTGTCCATCTGCACTTGGTTAAGCTGTGTACTAGGCTGCTCAGTCGGCAATGTGCTTTGTGGCTGACCCCCTTGGTCCTTGTCCATCTGCAGTCGGTTGAGGACACTTCGCCTCACAGACCTTCGGTTGAGAGTCTGCTCTGTTTCCCGTCCAGATGGCGCCGGCGAGGATTGTTGTTCTCGCTGTGGTGCTGGCTGTGATGACTGCAGAGTAGGCACATCGGGTAGTGGGCGTCCCGACGACGTCGGTACTAATTTGTCGCCACTACCCGCCTTACTCGCTCCCGTCCTCAGCTCACAATGATCTGGAGCACCTGACATAAGGGCCACATACGCACATCCAACGCATCTGTGGTGGGGAGAGAAGATCCTGGCTATCTTCGGCTCCAACTGTATCGACTTGGGTAACACGATGCACTGTTTCGATAAACGTGCGTGAGGCCCTGTAGCCGCATGACAAGCCGACCGGCCGGAAACTTCATCCCCAACAACATAAGCTATCGCGCAGGCATATGTTTGGGGGGCCAGATCTGTGTATTGGTGTTTGTCTAGAAACTCCTTGGGCAGGTCTCTTTTTCGGGGTAATGCGAGCATCCGTGATATATCGAGTCGGTTAGACGCCCTGAAACCAGAAAGAACCGCCGACATGTATTTAGAGACGTCCCTTTCAAACCGACTAGTTTGACTGTGTTCATGGTTCTCCGACGTGGCCCGTCGTTTCCTATCCTGACCCGCATCCGCCTCGTCTAATTGGCGTTTGGTCGGCCCAGCACCATGCTCGCTAGGACCCCGTTGAACAGGCGGATGGGCTGTACGAGGCACTGGGACCTGTGCTACAACAATGCCTGGCGACGTTCCTATAGGATTCCTGTAGGTACCGAACTGTGTTATGGTTCCATCTCCATTGTCGTTGAACGTCATATTCCTATGGCTCGAGCCGAAATGGCCAGATAGCGCATATAGGTTCTTGAACGTGCGCTGACATCCTCGAACAGGGCAGATAAACGGATGCTGAGAGTCATGATGCAATTTATAACCAGCTGGGATCAAGACCCCCTTTGTTGGCACTGCTTGCCCATCAGGTTCTAGCCAAGTTAGCGTCAGAATAACGTTTTAGAAGTTGCTCATCACGTACGAACAAAGACAGTGTATGGCCTGCCATCCGTGGCAACCTCCATTGGCACGGGATATCTTTTGCGCGGCGTAGCTATGTTGTATGCTTCATGAACCGAAGTCGTTTGAATCGTGGGGTTTGTTAAAGGGGGGTGGAGCGTTTGTCCTAGTCCGCCACTTGTTGTGCTAGAAGCTGCGGCTGGCTTTCTCAAGTCAGGCTCAGGCAGGCTGGTACCGGGCGCAGAGCGGGATGGCGTTTGCCCAGGAACCTGCAACGCGGAAGCGTTTCGCATCGCAATTGATGGAAGCGGAACCGGCGTAGGTGTAAAGGCAGGTCTTGATACAGGAGGCGCAGAGGGTGCTGGAGGTGCTGGAGGTGCAGTAGATGGGACACTCGCTACTCTTGGTTGACTGGAAACAGATGCTGGCAACGAAACAGTTGCCGCGACTGTAGGTGGTAACGGAACAGGCGCTTTGCAGCGTCAGCAGAGCAAATCCCAACAAGTCTAATGTTTCAAGTTCAACTTACTTTCCTTGATGCGGGCTATGGCAGGAATAGACGCCAACGAGCTGTCATCAGAGTCGCTACTCTGCGCCCGAGCTGGTTCAGGCGGCTCCTTTTTGAATTTCACCTGGGTTTCCATCTTCAGCGCGTCCTGCCTCTTCTGCTCACCAGCAGCTTTATTCAGTACTGCGAGGTGTGGCCGATCCGACAGCTCAACTTGGACGTGAGTCGCCCTTGCTGCTGAACCAGTACCAGACACACGAGGAAGATCGTCAACCGCCATCACCGACTCCTCCTCATCGTCAGAACTCGTCGACCAGTGAATCGCGTCGGCGTCCCAGGTCGGATCGGCTTTCTCGTCGTCAATGTCCACAGGACCTAGAGGCAGGTCCATCATGAAATCCGAGTCCATTTGAGATGACAACCCGCGCAGAGGGTCTAGGCGGCGTTTAGTGAAAGGGCTATCAAGACCCAAGATCCCCGATGTGATGGCCATGTATCATGGTCCACGGTTGAGTTAGCGAATGTGAACTCGGGGTGAGTGAATCCCCCATCCAGCTTCGGCGACACACGTGCTCCTGGTAGCTCAATGGCACAGTCCTAAGAGCTCCTTACAAGTCGCGCAGCTAAGAATCCTTTCCTTGTCAAGTCCGGGTGCGCAATCGGCCAAGCTTGAGATCGGGCGGCGCCTTGCAGGGTAGTTGAGTGAAATGCGCTCGACTTGACTGAGGTTGAAAGTGCGACGCGCAAACGCGGTTGCGGATCCCAAGGTTGGCAGCCCGCCCCGTTGAAGTGGTAAGTGGATCTGGGGAAGGTACGATGCAGAGGTTCGCCACCACTGCCAAAGACGCAACGCTCAACTCAGCGGCGATTGAGTCGACCCAAGCGTATCCAGGTGGCCAAGAAAATGGCAGTGTCGCTCTTCATTTGGTTGAAAGACATTGCAAGAGCATTCAACACTCCAGTACGTAATAATTCATCCACGGCACTCCAACTCGTCGTGGCACAACACTTAATTGCTCCGCGACGTCGAAATACAAGAAAAAGTACAGTGAATTTTGTCTAGTGTAGTACACATCGCTATAGTACAATACCGGCCCCTGGTGCCCATCAAATCTCATCTCCCCATCCGCTTCCACCTAGCTTATTTGCTCTTCTTCGCAGCCTTCTTGGCCGCTTTCTTGGCCGCCTTCTTGCTGACAGCCTTGACGCTCTTCGTCTCTCCACTCTCCGCCCTCTTCTTCTCCGCCTTCCTCTGGCCCTCGAGCTCCCTCTCCCTCCTCCACCGCCTGTGCCTAAACCACTGCTTCCGCGTCCTGAACCGCTTCGTCCGCAGCCCCGTCGTCTTGGCCAGCCGTCCGATGCGCCAGTTGTCCTCGCGATAGCTGTAGTCGGACCGCAGCTTGAGGATCCTGTCCGGCTCCCCGGCCTCAACGCGAGTCACCTCAAAGGGGATCCCAGAGGGCGACAGGGCGGGCTTCTCGGCCGCCGCGCGGATGGGAAAGGCAGTCATGTTGAGGCGGCGCTTGCGCTCGGCGTGCTGCGGGTACGGCAGCGTGTCGGCCTTGTCGAAGACGACGCCAATGTATTTGCGGTCCGGGTGCAGCGACGGGTCGCGGTAGTACTTGACGTAGCCCGTGGCCATGGCGTGGATGGTGTGGTCGCGGCCCATGATGCAGTTTTCGCCCGGCCACCAGTGCGTGCCGCGCTGCTTGTAAATGATGTTGCCCGGGATGACATACTGGTCTGTACGAGTTAGCCGCGTGGTTCCGGAGCGAGCCAAAACTTCGAGCACCCATTCCACCACAGGGGTTGCCGATGCTCAACCAACGCCGCCCCTTTTGTGGAAAACGCAAAAGTCCGCCTACCTCCAGTCCTCTTGGCTCCCAGCTTCTTCGGAATGCCCCTCTTGCTCTTCTTCTTGTAGGCGCCCTGCGCCTTGACCGAAGCATGTCGTCGCCCCCAAGCCAGCACATTCGCCCATTGAGCGCTCCCCAATGAAGCAACTCCCGTAACAGTCGGTCGGGCAACTCCAACGCAAGTAGCAGCCACAGCCAACAGGGGCCGCTGCATCGTGAGGAACCGCATCGTGCGCGTGCCCGGTCGTCAAGATGGCATGCAATCCGAAAGATCCAAAGCTCTCTGCCCCCATTTGACAAAGTTGGAGTTTTCTGCTGAGTCAGCCGCGCCACCAGCCCCATGCTATCGATAAGCGCAAGTGGACAAGTCATCGTCCAGAACCCTGGTCAATCTTCTTCATCCTGAAGCATAAGCGGAAAAAAAAACCCCAAGACAGAAGAAATTCGGCAAGATGCGGCTCCTCATCCTGCTCATGTCGCTCTCCGCCCTGGCCAACGCGCAGTTCGGCTTCTTCGACCAAATGTTTGGCGGGCATGACGCCCACGAGCAGCACCACCAGCATCAGCAGCGGAACAACCCCAGCGACGCAGGACACTACAGATCACAATTTGAACAATGTACGTTTTCGCAACACCCAAAATAGCCAGAATTTGACAGGAATTTTTCTTCTTCTCCCCTGGAATAATGTGCTAATTCTTTACTAGCCTACTGCGACAACTACCTCTGCCCCGATACCCTCGCCTGTGTGCACTTCCCGCACCACTGCCCCTGCGCATGGGGCGCCCACGAGGAGAAATTTGAGCTGGGCGAGGGGAAGAAAGTCTGCGTGTCAAAGGGCGGGTTCAAGCCTGGCGAGGCGGCGAGAAAGATTGAGCTTGCGCGCAAGGGGTTACTATGAAGCTATAGAAGAGATGAGGACGCATGTAGACTTAACAGGACAAATCATAACGACGTTTGACACAAACTATAAACCAAGTAGTGATTTACGCACAACTGGGCTGGACACAACGCTAGAGTAATTACAAATATGTATGTGCAGTATACACATGACATGACGTTGGTGGTAGACTCTTATCAACTTGGGCAAAGAAAATAAGACGCAAATTATGCCAGCTATGTTCCCAGCGACTTGTCGCACGAGGGAATTCGTAAACGATCGTGAGGCTACCATAAGAGATTCTATAAATACATTTCACTCTTTCCCTTTCAGGGTCTTCGTAGTCCCAGTCCAAACAAAAAACTCCTCCGATTCGACGACGCGCCGGCAGGAAGGGGATCGGTCTGCGTCCACACATCCCGCATGGCCCGTCGCCGCTTGATGACAATAGGGAAGATGTATATCAAAATCCGGTTGCGTGTCCTCTTGAAGTCAGGTCTTCGTTTTTGTAACTTGTTTCGTTTACGGGCCGACCCAGATGAACCAGATGTCGAAGGGGGTATGATTGCAATATCCGGCGAATGCTTTTCCTCTTCTCCCGGGGGTTTCATCGAGGTCAGACTACGCAAGGAAGGTAGTGAAAGAAAGCTGAGTCCCGGGGATGTTAGTTCCGGTATGGGCGGTGAGGATTTGGGTGAGACGTCGGTTTCTTCGCGGCGTGTCCGTGAAACCGTGCTGTGTATGGATGATAACGATAGTCGGCGGAGGAAAGTCGGCGACGAGGGCAATGCCGTGGGCAAAGATGGTGGTGCGTCAGTTTGTCTGGTTGACGTGCCTTCTTCTGGTTGTCTGGTAAAGGAAACGTAGGAGCCTAGTGACGGCGACGAAATCCAGCTCAAACTTCGTGCGGTAGCAGATAAAATGGGCAACAAACCCCCTGGAGCAGGCTTCCTTTCTTCAACAGTGGCATTGGGTGCCACTTTGACGGACCTGGGCCTCATGATCCTTCGCAATCTCCGACTCTTAATGTGAGCCATTCGGCAGTGGAGGCACTGGGGGCACCTCCTGGTCGTCGTCGTCTTCGTCGTCAGGGATGGACTCCGGCGCGCCGAGCAATTGTGCGACGTTGTGCATGTCGTAGTGCTTCTTGCGCGCGGCCTCAAACTGGCGGTGCTTTTCGCGTTCCTCTGGCGAAATTCCCACCAGTTCCTCTTCGGCGGAGGGGGTGGCATCTTGATCATCCACATGAACCGTCTTTTCGGAGGGTTGGCGCGCATGTGGCGGAATGTCTGTTTCTGGAATCTCTTCCTCCGGATCGCCCAGGCTGAGGCCCGGAATGTCATCTTCACCGCCCGGACCTGAAGATTTGCGCCGAAGACCACCACCCTCCATAATATCCTCGTCGTCGGATGGGTCCTCGGCCGGGTCGTAGTGTTTCGCATAGGGAGTCTTGGGCTCGGTGATTTTCATAGTAGAAGTGCGCTCCTGCTCCGTCAGGTACAGGTTTGCCTCGTCCCACTTGAGGCGCTGCGACGACTCGGCCTGGCCGTCGGGGTCGTGGGTGGAGGAACGGCGCGAGCCAAATGGTCTGGTAGCAGAGGAGGAGGAGCGTCGATGGCCAGCGTTGATTTGGGTGTTGGCAAGAGTGATTTCTTTGCCGGACATGGACCGCTCGCGACCTTGGCGTGGAGACGTGGTCGGCGGCGGAGAGGTGTGAGAATGGCTCGAAGTATGCTTTAGGATGCCTTGGGTAGCTTGTTAACGAAGCTGTTTGACGTGAGTCTTGCACCGGTACGGCTTACCTCTCGGACGCTGAGCATCATGTCCTGGAGGAGAATGAACTGGGGCCGGGTCTACCGTAGAAGTCATGGTGACGGGTTCTTTAGCGGTGTAGGTAAATGCGGTTTGGTCGACTCTATTGCGATGGCTAAAGGCGCTTGAAACGGGAGTCTGGCAGACGGTGCTCAACTGGTCGTTGCCGACGCCCAAGCGGCAGGTGACTTGGAAGATGAAGCTGTTGCAGGCGAGGTGAGAGGGCACGAGATGCGAGAGGTACAGGCCGGAAGAGATGCGCTGCGCTCGTGATGTGACGGTATTGTTCAACGCGTTGCAGGCGACCGAGGTTGGGAAGTGTCGATCAAGAAACTGGGGCACACGACACAGAAATGCTGAGCGAGAGGGGTTTTTGAGGCGGGGCAGCGGCGTTTTGCACGAGGTGGCGGTGGGAAGCGAGGCCCGTCGCTGACGTGAGCTCTTTGAACAGGTATCGAACTGACGCAAATGCCGACTCTGATGCTAAGGACAGGAACAACACCGATGGCTCTAGATGACGCGCTCACACGATGCTCTCAAGTGAACAAGGAACTCTTTCACGCTACTGTTGACCTCTTGACAACCCCGTCATGATTCGGGGAGTACGTAGTATGTGCAGAAGGCACCAGACGCTTGCGGCGTGGCTTGCAAGGGTGGCGCGGGGAACGTGGCGCGTGGCACACTTGACACTGCAAGTCTCTCAACTGTCCGAGGCATCCAACGCCATGAGCTGCACGTTGCATGCCAAAGCGACTTGACTTGACCACACGCGATCATGGTCATGCAGGAACCACAATCTCTTTTATCGTACTACGTACTGCCTAAGAGCTAACCTAATGCGCAAACGTGACCTCCCAGAATTCCAGCACCTACTTACCCAGTGCCACCCTACACCACCAGCCTTGGCCTATTGCCGGCTCTCAAGACACAACATTCAAATGTCCAACAAAGTCATGGTTTAACGTGATTCAAGCAGTGAGAATTCCTGTATGGAGTAATGCACAAGTACTATTCCGTACATATTGTAGCACTACACTGCCTACCGCTTCGCCAGCTGTCTCAATGACAACTCTTCGTGTCGAAACGCCCATGTCCTCAAAAATCCTGTTCTGCGAGCCCCATGCATGCACGAGTCCGACAACAGCCAACTGCCAGCCATCACCCGTTGGTCAGTCAATTCAGGGTCCTCTAGACCCAAGGCCTCCAAGTATTCATCCTGTCAACAATCTGCCGTTGCAACAAATGGTAGTACTAATGCAGAGTCGACACGCATGTCCATGTGGCGCCACGAAAATGCAACACCGACAATGCGCCAAAGCTACCGAATGCTTGGATATCAAACCAGACCACGTCGACGTGCATGACTCCGTGTTGAACTAATATGTCTGCCGCATCCGCGGACCCAGCCAGGTAGTTAGCCTAACAGCCGGAGCAGGAGCGCCGTGGTCCGCAACTTTGGGCATCGGATGGAAACGCCAAGTCGTTTCTGGAAATCCCCGTCGCACAGACTCTGTCTTCATGCCTTGGCTTGTTGAGTAAACAGACCGGCCCACAATGTGCTTGGCTTCCTGAAGCGATTGGCAAGAGACGGGGCCCAGAGTCAACCCTCATTGAGCGTGTTTCAAAACAAAACCCTTGTTCAAGAAAGAAAGTACATGATGACAAACACTTTGACACCCATGGTATAACTAAGAGGTAGCGGTTTGTAACAAACAGAAATGACAACGCACGAATGGGAAAACACAAATTCACCTTTGCACAAATTGGCCCTTTTCTTTGTATCGTCGTAGTCAAGTTAGAATTGTTTGTGTCTATTTGCCCATTCAATCCTTTGGTACCGCGTCCCGCTTGTAGGAAGCAACATTGAGAATCGGCCGACGCCGTGACTCAGACGTCCAAGAATAAGGTGAGCCTCCCGCGAATGCCGCCGAAACCACACGTAGTCAATCAAGATTTACAAGAAAAAGAAATGGCTCAGCCCATGAACAAGGAAAAGTGTCGTAGTATGGTATTCGCCAATAACAACGCCGAAATGGTATCTGCAAGCATCAAGCCCACCCGCCAGGACCAGGAAGTGAGACTCCTTGGTCTACATCCTGGGCGACTAACACCGCCCCCTAACTCCCCCTCTCCCTGTCCTGAACAGAAAAAAAAAAAAAGGAAAAAAGATGCCCATTCAATCCTTTGGTACCGCGTCCCGCTTGTAGGAAGCAACATTGAGAATCGGCCGACGCCGTGACTCAGACGTCCAAGAATAAGGTGAGCCTCCCGCGAATGCCGCCGAAACCACACGTAGTCAATCAAGATTTACAAGAAAAAGAAATGGCTCAGCCCATGAACAAGGAAAAGTGTCGTAGTATGGTATTCGCCAATAACAACGCCGAAATGGTATCTGCAAGCATCAAGCCCACCCGCCAGGACCAGGAAGTGAGACTCCTTGGTCTACATCCTGGGCGACTAACACCGCCCCCTAACTCCCCCTCTCCCTGTCCTGAACAGAAAAAAAAAAAAAGGAAAGAAGAAAGAAAATAAAAGACAAAACAAATAGGCCTGCTTCAATAATAGATGCGGCATGTGTCAGGGTCTCATACAAAAAGGCCCCATAAAATCGCAATGATAACCATATAGTGTCCCTTCTCTTAATAGTTCCTGAGCCCGACTAATCACTAATCATTATGTTCCCTCATATCAAAATTACATGGCGTGAGACGTACAATCATAGCTTTTCGGCAGCATCCGTTCATGGTAGCTTGAACAGCGCCATTGCGTAGTGTTGAATCCGTATGCGCAGCTTACTCTGAAATCGGCGACGGATACATCATTGCGTTTGTCCGGCCTCTGGGGACTCGGCCTGTGCCCCGGGGGCATCTAGTATCACCATGAGAGCCTTCAAGATGTGGTATCCCGTCCGCCAACACACGCTCTTTTCCTGCTCCCCAGCCCAAATGTCAACGCAGCTAACGAGGGTCTCGAGGATAAGCTGTCGAGGGGGTATAAGACATCCAGTGGCAGCCGCTTCGCTTAGTGGAGCATCTCGACGTAGCATGTGCACACAAGTGGTCAAGGTTGCTGAGAAGATATCAAGTACAAACGGCCGTCCGACCAAATCAAGTGGTTGAGGGGTTTCTGGGTCCCACAGCTCACGGTAGTGAAACAACAACGCGAGTGAGCACTCCAAGGATGACCAGTAAGATTCCGGAAACATGGTA